TGTAACCTCTCTCGTGCCGTTCAGCCTGCAGTCTCCCGCCAATCGTGATACCGTCGTGATAAGTGGTTCGCGCTCGAGGAAACGAAGTAGAGAGCGTTGAAAAAAAAAAAAATATATATATATATATATCTTATATGCGCACGAGTCTTCGATTGGCGTGTCCTTGTATCGAAGATTGTCCGTCTCGTTGAACGTTCTGTGTCAAATGGTGCGGTGAGACTACACGGCCGGGAGTCTGCATCCAGGATTAATTTGAAATAAACATGAGGATCAGGAAGGACGCACCTTGCCTCGTACTCCGGCTGGTGCCGCTCGAGAATCTTGATTCTTGGAGTAAGTTAGATTGATTCCCGTTAGTTATGAACCTTTGTTATTTTTTGATGGATTTTCTTTTTAAATATTAAGATACTCTTCGCGCACGTAAGTGCGCGCGTGACATCATAGTGCTTCGAGGGAAGTCCCGAAGGAACTGCGATAAATAAAAGCATAAAATTATTTGAAACGCGTCGATGACGAATGTAAATTTTGTGACTATTGATCATTTCATAAAACAACAAAAAAGTAAAAGAAAAAGCCATTTGATCAATTTAATTGATCAAACGGCGGTTTTTTTTTTTACTTAATTATATTGCATTCTCTATTAGTTGGTCCAGTTGTTTTTTTATTGTTATTATACCAAGTGATTACTATTTTGACTTTGTATTCCTGAATCATCGTCGCGATGATGTCATACCTGGCCCAGAGGAATATAGATATTATTTTGTCTGAGTCTAATATATATAAAAAAATGTTGAGGTTAATTGTTGACAAGTACTTTACAGGATATCTCCAAAATAAAGTATACCAGTAAAAATATTGTATTTTTTATATAATGTTTGTAGCAAAACTTGCATGTAAATTTTAAGTGCTGAAGTTCGTGGATAAAATTCGGATTAATTATCTAAAAATTTTTAAATTTCTGCCTTAGTTGAATAGATAAATTTTGACATTTTTCTGTATAGCTATATTGAAAAATTATAGATAAATCTCTCCTTTAAGATTGTTACAAAAATTGGACCCTTACATCTGTAGATATGTAAAATTCTTAATTCTTGAAGAAATTTTTTTGTAAACATGCTTATACTTTTCATGCTGAAGTTAGCGAAGAACTTCATTTAATAAAGATCCGTCAATTTTTTATAGTTCGATGATCATCAACATCAAAATTACATTGAATGAAATTAATAAGAGAATACAATTGATTTGATGTTGATGATCGAGCTATAACAAATTGACGGATCTCTATTAACCGAAGTTCTTCGCTAACTTTAGTAGAATTTTAATCAAGATATATGATATTTTTCTTGTATCTACTTTGTATCTCGCGTAAATATTCGATTACGCTCTTGCTTTCATCAAGATTTCTTTACGGTTATATTCTCGGCGTTCTCCCTTTTTTGATACTATCGTAATACAATCGCAAAAATTCTCGGTATCAATAAAAACTTGAATTCCACAGCTGTAAACATTCTCGTTTCCGCGTGTGAAATCGCTGTTTCAAATTCTTGCTTAAGAACATTGTGTTTAAGTAACAGGATTTCCATCGGGTGCGACGACCGTTGCGCGATCATCGTATAAATCGCACCACCGCGACTGTCTCGATCGCTGTACCGACCTAAATAAAGTAACCCACATTCGACTTTTCCGTGACGATCATGCGACTTATCGCTTTGAATATTTAATCTCTATATTCGATTTAACCTCATCCTCCAATCCGTTCTTCTTATAGCAATATATTTGGTATTTAATAAATTCTTGCTTTTTCATTTTTATAAAATGTCACTCGCAATGAACGTTTGAGATCACTAAAAAGATTTAATAAAAAGTTTCTGTTTAATCGCAAACTTCTCGCTTCCAACATCTAATCTAATTTCTCTCTCTCTCTCTCTCTCTCTCTCTCTCTTGTTGCTTAAGAATTTTATATTAAACGAAGTTTGATTATTGAAACCGAAATACTTTAATAGTAATTAGACTTTATTTAATAAAATTACTTAGTATGAAACTCGCGATTTATTGCACAGAAATTACAAAGAATGCGCTGTATCAGTAACGTATCATCGCAGCATGAAAAATAGACCAGTGAAAGTTAGATATACGAAAACTAGATCAATGGAAGTCGCAGAATAGAAATTACATACGTGTCCTTTTAAATAATAATTTTTTTTTTAATAACGTTTCATTATAGATATAATTCGTATCTCATAATAATCTCTATCAAAAATTATGAAATCGGATTTCTGCTAATATTAGAGCAACGATCGAAGCTTTCTTCTATTTTTAGAATTCTTCGAAAAATCGTTTCAAAACATAGAACAAGAACGTTTTGCACAGTATTAGTCATATACTATCGCGAGCTGGATTTGAAATCGGAAAGGAGCTTTGCCAACGTTGGAATAATGATTGGCGACGACAGTTTGGGGTTGGTGGCCGCGAGAGCCAACCGACCGGAGGAGACGAGAGGGGTTAACGAGTGAGTCATCGTTGAGCCAGGCCAGGCCTTAGCAGCCGCAGGTCAGGAGAGGAAGACACTTTTAGCCCACATTTCTTCCTCGCCTTCTCTCTCCTTTTCGCGTTCACGGCGTTCCTTTATTTTTATCCACCGCCGTTTATTCTTGGCCCGCCGTTTCTTCCTTTCCGCCCATTTTTTCCGCGCCGTCGCGTTATCTCATTCCCTCCTCCCTTATCCATATCGCTGTCACAAACTGGAAATCTTCAGATAGTATCATCCTCTGAGATTCATCTTGGATCTTGCTTCTGCGACTCTTACAATTGGCGTTTACGTAAGTCGCAGAGAAGGATTCATAAAAGCCTATACTTTTTTATTTGTTTTTTTTTTATGTAAATATCTGTATATATATATATTTCGGAGTCTCTTCAAGTTTCCAAGAGCTCGTCTTGAAATATAAAAGACGTAAGCTAAATCGTTTTTATGAATTGACTTTCCACGAAACGAAAGCTAATTGCGCTACTATTAATTGTATTATAGTATATGCAATTGTGATGTACTCTTCTTTTCTTCGTATTTATTAATTGCGAAGAGCCTTCACTCGTAAAGAATCTTGAAATTAAATTTTGGCTTTTCTAATCCGTTAGATATCCACACGAGATTTTGAATTCTGCTTGAATATCTTGGTTGTTTGATCTCGAGATAATTAAATTTTGGTTCTTTGTATTTTTAAATTTCTAGAAATTCTGATCGCTTCTTGTATCCTTTGATCTTCCAAATGCTTCACATTTCTAGAATTTCAAACAATGCTTGAATGTCAGGTTTTCAAGATCCTATAATTAGCTCAATGATTGACTTTCTGAAGTTTTAGATTCTTCGAGATCTGTAAGAATGATATTCATAGTTCGTTCTTATTTTAATATCGTCTTAAGATACCAATACAGTTCTCTAATTGGTTCGTGACATTTTAAGACAATACTTAAACGGTCTCAATAAGAATCGATTATTATGAATATCGATCTAAGATTTCTAAGATTTTTGATTTTTTAGATATAGACGAGACGCTTAAGATGTGCGTTTATAATTTAACGAATAAATTAATTAATTTATCTGATTGATCATTTATTAAATATTTATCCTGACTTATATATACAGTGGTTTAAGATTATCGTGCACCTTTCCAAATATACAAATAAACGTCAACGTGAGATAACGTCAAATTAACGACGCGCAAAATCGATATAGCGTGATATTGTTCCTCATATTTTTTATCAAAAGGAAAAACATTTATATTTATAAAAATCCAAAGATTATAAATGATGATTCTCTAGACGATGATTTATAAGGAATCTGTGTATGTATATATGTATATATATATATATATATAGAGAGAGAGAGAGAGAGAGAGAGAGAAAGAGAGAGAGCTGCGCAAGTTAATTATTATTAGGAATACGGAACGTATATATCCGAGTTAATCAATAAGTTGGCTCTCGACTACGTTTCTTCTAGTATTTCTAACAGATATAGAATCGTGACCGACCATGTACTCATTGTTTATCGACGACGAGCGTTGTATATGTTCCATATATACTTTCGAAAGCAAGTACGTTTGACTTTGTTCGCATTAATTTTCGTGTTGTGTGAATTTAGGAATGAAACGGTTTTCTTGAAACGCGCTATTCATCAATCTTTTAATAATTAAATCCAACAATTAAATCAAAATTAAAAGATATTCTTGAAAACGAGATCAATTATTGTAATATCCTCCGAAAATTAAAAGATATCGGTCGATGTCCCATTTTTCCTTACATTTATTATTAGTTAGAATAAGTCTATATACATTTTGAATCAGCATATATACATAATATATCGTATATTATATTATTATATTATATAATATAACATAAATGAGAATAAGAATATAAGTCTATGAATATATCTCACATGAAGAGTCGCTAAATACGGTGAAAGCTACATAATATATACTTAATATTTATTATAATATACATAATAGGTCGATATTTCTTTTATTAATTAATTATCGAATATTTCAGGTGGGCACCGGGAGTTCCACAGGCGGCACCGAGAGCTATGCGAGGATACGCTTCTGCCAAACGGCGCCGCCGCCGCTGCCGCTGCTGCCGCCGTTGCTGCAGATCCGTCGACGACGACGGTGAGCGGCTGCACGAGTCCTGGACCAGGTTGTCCCGTGCTGAGCATCTCTGGCCCGCCGACCCCGCAGCCAGCCGACATCGACAACCACCCGGCGTCCCGCGTTCTGCCGTTTCTGTACCTCGGTAACGGCGATCTGCAGCTATTGCGCGCCCTCGGCGCCACCCGGGTGCTGAACGTCACCTCACAGCTGCCCGGCTACCACGAGGAGCGGGGTATCACGTACAGGCAGATACCCGCCTCGGACTCCGGCCATCAGAACCTCAAGCAGTACTTCGAGGAAGCGTTCGAATTCATCGGTGAGTGTGAAATTTGTTGTCGATCATTTAAAATTTTTCTCTTTTTTTCTTCTACTTTTTCCTCTACAGAAGGAACAAAGAAAAGGTTTATATAAAGAGTTTAAATTTAAACGGAAGAGTGTTATTTTTTTTTAAACCGGAGACGTAAAAAGAACCCAGATAACAAGCATGTCCAAAAAGGGAACATGAGATGTCTTACAAACATCTTGAGGATATTTTTATAATATGATGTCAGAAAGACAGCTTGATGACATATTTCTCTTTAAAATTCTATCAACATTTTCCTTCATCTATTTAAAGAAGAGAAAGAAAGCTACCTACTCATTACGTTTATATTTAGAACAATTGCACTTTCAATTGCAGAGAGCATTTATTTATCGCGAATATTTTACATTAGTGTCATCTGTTTAGTTTCTTAAAAATGACAGACTTTGTAACTTGATCGAGGAATGTTGTTGAGAAAACGATTGTCGTTTAAGAACATTTCCTTTCTCTGGAACGCAATTTAAAAATATCAAATAATTCAAAGTCGACGCGCCATTCCTTGATTCACGATATCGCGAATCCACGTGATGATCGTCATAATTTCCACGATTACACAGACGGCACACTTCCTGCCGTCCTTCTTCCGGTCGCTCCGTTGCGTTCATTCCGTTATTTCGCGGCAAGTAGTACTAGGCCCATGGACGGAAACAGGGTGTAACCAGGCGTTTCCGGTGGACCATTGAACCAGAGCGCCCGAACAGCAGGAGACCTTCCATTCATGAAGGCATGAGTCATGCGCGCGCGCGCGCATCCGTGAAACGTAAGAGATTTCCCCTTTCACCCTTTGACCCTGCATTTTCTATCCTCTTTCATTCTTAATGTTAATTCCTTCTCTCGCGCGTTTACGCGATGTTCTACGCGTGCATCTGCAAGAGAAGAAGAAAGGAGAGGAGAGGAGAGGAGAGAAGAGAAGAGAAGAGAAGAGGAGAGGAGAGGAGAGGAGAGGAGAGGAGAGGAGAGGAGAGAGAACGGAATTACTATGGAAGGGAAGCAGAGCGGCAGTCGTGCGTGGCGATTGTAAGGGCTCGAAAAGGAACGAAAGAGAGAGAGGGATGGAAACGGGACGGAGAAGGATGGAGGGAAAACTGGCCTCCCCCTGAACGTGCAACTGGTGGAATGCCGGTTGAATAAACCGACTCTGCACCCCGTCGCCGTTGGCACTCGATTCTGAAGTTTACTTTTGAGAAACTCATTCCTTCACGCATCGTGATTCACTTAATCGCAAATTCGAGTAGTCCTCTTTTTTTCTTTTCTTTTGTCCGAACTTGCATTTTTTTTACTGTTTATTTTCTCTGCTGAACAAATATTATACCGATATTATAATTTCCCATTTCCTAACATTGTAATTCTTATGAAGGCACATAATTTATAATAATTATATATATATGTACGTTATTATTATTTATATTGATGAGTAGAAAATTACAATATCGATGTAATGTTACTGTTTGTGTTTAGCGAACAGTTGGAACGTAATAAAATTAAAAAATACCTTTTTTCCTTTTTTATTATGATAGAAAAAAATGTTCAGATTATTATTATTTACATTATTAAGTTTAATGAAATATTCAAATTTGTGTAACTAGGAGGTCTGTTCCTTTTAGCTAAAATTCTTGCACGGTTCATCCTTCTTCCTTTTCTTTCCACAGAGAAACAGAGAAAAAATGTACCGTACAAGAAGTTCAAAAAGAATAGGCCCACTATTATTCTTCTTTTTTTCTTTGACCGGACCATGCAATTTTCTTTGCAACATGTGTCTTTGCAACATGTCCTTTTGATCTTTAAAGGGAGTTTATTTTTTTAATGGCTTTTCTTAAGTAAGATTTATTATAATTTATTCTTTTTTATTATTTCCTTGCCTCCAAATATGATACTGTTTCAATGCCACTACAATGGCTTCCCCATCCCAAACGTTAAATTCGGATTGTCATTGAGGTCTAATAAAATTTCGAAATGCAGGGTCAAAGTTATCTTTCGAAAGATGCGATCAACTTGGCGTACGCAATCGAATTCTCTCGCGGTGCGACATAACGTTTGCATAGTCTGCATAGGATCCGGGCAATGTAGTGACTCACGCTGGCGATACGATAGCGTCCCCCATATATTGCATAACCTGAGTCGGTCGTTCGGGTTTCATGAATGTTTCGCTTCAACGTTTATGAGCTCGACTTGTTCATATTTTTCAAAAGCATGCGTTGCACAAAACAATCCTGTGAATCTTGAAAAAATCTTTTTAAGTTCCCAAACTAAACGCAAACTTTCAACACTGCAATAAAGTGACAACATATATTCATATATGTTAATCTATAATACGTTTTGCAGATTAACATCGAATATATGTCCTTAATCGCAATATACGTAGTTTCTTGAATAATTACGAAACGCAATAAAGCATTTAATTACGCAATAAAATATCACTAAAATTTCTTATTTTGGATTGAAAAGAAATTAAACCCGATAATTTCTAAATGTATTATTGTTTTTTCATGTATTCTTTCTGTTGATTTTTTTTTTAGAGAATTTTAATAAGATTATTATTAAATTATAAATAAATCAGAGCAGTCACTTTTTCTTATTGTAATTGATAAATGATAGTTTTTTTTATCAGCATTGTTATAAAAAAAAAGGAAGAAAATACGCATTTATCATCTCGCAATTTGTCTTTTATTCCAGAGGAAGCACGGAAAGCCGGAAGCAGCGTATTGGTGCACTGTCAAGCTGGTGTGTCGCGCAGCGCAACAATTGCGATTGCTTACATAATGCGACACAAAGGCCTGTCGATGGTGGAGGCGTACAAACTGGTGAAGAACGCGCGCCCGATCATCAGTCCGAACCTGAACTTCATGGGTCAGCTGTTAGAGCTCGAGCAGGGTCTGCGGGCGTCCGGTGACGTCGCCAACTCTGCGCCAGAGGAGCCCACGACGACGATGGTAACGTCAACGACAACGACGTCGACGTCGACAACGGCGACGACGACGACGAGTAGTTGTCACCAGTGCAGGTGGAGTCATCAGCCTAACAGCGAGGAGGTGGTCACCTCTGGCTGCAGTGTCTGAGACCACGCTCTTCTCTCGTATCTTCTTCTTCTGGTCTCTCTTGAGAGTACTGGATCGTCGGCGATGGCGTCGGTATGTCGCGAAGACGCAAACATATCCCGAGAGAGCGAATGTCGATGTCCTTCCTGCGTTTCTTCGCGACAAGTCTGGACGATAAACGAATGCAGTTCGCGAGATCGCCGATCACCTGAAGATACTGGATTCAATTATAGGAAGATTCTGCAAATATGAACAATGATGCCCTCGGTATCTTTTCTTGATATCCCGAAACGCGGAATTTTCCCAATCTTCGCGTCGCACAATATTTAAGTTGTCACGTTTTTCAACTCAGGCTCTTTAGCCTAGAAATTATCGGCTCTTAAGTTTTTTTGTTTTTTTTTTAGAATTAATACATTTTTTCCTGAATTCCGTGTCTTCGGGATGACCATTCAATTAAAAATGGTGAAGTCAAACTGCCGAACTGACAAATCGTGACTTATTAAGGGACTCGAAGAGATACAAATGTGTGAAGACAAATACATCGTATTGTTATGAAAATTTTGATTTCTCTCTGTGGATGATTAAATTATTATATTTCCTATATATTCTTTAGTGCCAATGGAAATTAGTCCGTATGCTTCATGTGCATGAATCAATTTGTAAACGTTATGAATGCGATGTGCCTTCTTCACACATAATATATCTAAGAAAAAAAGATAGTTACGGGTTAGATTCTCTGCGGAGAGACAAAATATATGGTAGGGAGCGTATTTCACATAAAAAGAATTCAACCACGCTCGCTTCCAGCTTCGATAACGAGCAACAGTGCGTCGCGATTATTTATTTTCGAACGACGTTCGTGCGAACAGTGAACATAACTTGTACTTACGACACACAGTGTTCCATAATACGCCTGGTCGAGTCAATAGGAAGGCAAGTAAAATGTACAGAATGCTCGCTTACGAGTTTCTCATTAAACGATTGACTATCGTCTAGTAATGTTTATGCAAGAAAATGCAAGGAAGGAAGATATGAAATCGGAAGTGACTGTTCCAATGATTAATTATAGGCAGCTTACAACATTGATAGAAACTCAGGACAAAACATTGAAAATTTGTTTCTGATGCTGATCATTAGAAATTTCTGAGTTTCTATTAGAAAACTATTAAACGTAATTATTCATGAATAATAGTATTGCTCTCTTACGAAATCTTCAAACTTCGAAGGTGTAATCTTTGTATATTAATGTGAGAAAACAGATTAAGCCAGCACGCACAAAAAGCAAATGAATCAAAATTGATAAAAATCAAAGTTCTTTAATTTTCCTACTTCCTAGACATAATACTTTTTCAATGATCAACTAGTAAAACTTGCGCTTGCCTCTCAATTGACTCCTGCAAATCTGGCATGAATTTTTAGTAGAATTATTTTTCGTATGGAGAAGATAAAATCGCCGACATGTACAGGGTGTCACGAGGATAACATTAGAGATTCTAGTCTCCTGACTAACAATAATGCTTTTGCAGTAATAGAGTCTCATCTCAGGTAATTACTTCCGGTATAATGTACTTTAAGTCATGTTATGAGAACAATTCAATTAATTTTCAATATCGGATCGATGAACGTGAAATGTGATAGAAACACGTTCGAAGGAATTTGGTTTAGAGACCTATTCTGATGCAAAAACAATATTCCAAGAGAAATATATTTTTATAATATTATAGCTGTGTTTTCAGCTGGCATTTTATTTTGTGTGGACAAATAAAGGATTATTTTGTATTATTTTCAAAAATTTTTATTTAGACTGGAATATATTATTTAATAAAATATAAAATGTATACGATTATGGCAAAGAAAGCAGAATTTTTTTCCGAGTACGCGCAATTCTGCTACTAATACAATATTGCTCATAAGTATTTGTCCATTTACTAAACTTGTTAATTACAATATCATTATTATACATATATCAATATGCAATATTATAGAAATATTGTAGAGATGGAATTAAAAAATTCCAACAAAACAGCAACATTGTAATCAAAGAAATATTTCATCAATTTTTCCATACTGTATGAATATTTTCCCCAAGATATAAAGATAAGAATTTTTACCTTAAAAATCTTTTTATCTAACAGTAATGTAATCGATGCTTTATTATTTTATTCTAAAATAAAATATCATATTTTTATTCTAAAATAAAATAAGATTGTCTCTATATTTAGAATATAAAATGTGGTAGGCAAATACTTCCGAGCTGTAAGTGTATTTCTTCTCTCGAGGCACCCTGTACATTAGCATCATGTAAAATGGAATGTTAATTTATAATGATGAGTCTTATATGGAAGAAAGGAACTGTTTATTAAGTAAAATCGAAATGATAACGTTAACAATTATATCGATTATGCCGATAAATTAAAAAATGATGATGAGAGAGAGAGAGAGAGAGAGAGAGAGAGAGAGAGAGAATGCTAAGATGTAGGAAAGAACAATAGGTATAATAAAACGTATCGATCGAGACTATAAATCGAGAGCGAGGGAGTTCGCCTGTCCGCGTCTGCATTTTCGATTTGCGACGCGATTGATATTTGATAAAGAAGAAATAATAAATAATATATCGTTCACTGAGAATAGCTTAGTTCGTTAAGCTCCCTTAGCATTTAAGGATCTGGTTGAGATCCAACCATCGTGATCTAGTCGTTGTTGGGATGATGATACGTACGATGATGCGAATGAGACGAGCACGTGAAGCGTCAAGATGCTCTTGTAATTTACGGTAACCGGAAGAGTAATCTGCGCAAGAATAAATTGCGCAAAACGTATGTAATTATTAGACGGTAAGATACAAGGAATTCTTTTTGCAAAGATAGGAATTGAAGGATTAGTTTCTGTTGTTTGTACATGAGCGCTCCATGCACATTTGTTCAGACAAATTGCTCTTAAATATACGACCAAACACGATGCAAGCGAATGCTCCAAAGTGAAGGTGCGTCAATTTTTACAGCTCAGTTTGCCATGGTAGACGAGAATTACTGCCATGCAAACAACGATCTCGCGGTTCGATCAACGAAATATCACGTGGTCGTGGATGGCGCCTTGTTAATGACTTAATTACAGCCGACAATAACTTCGTGATGAAGCTAATATCGCGAATCGCGGGAGGAGAGTTGCGAATGAATGACGATGGAAAGAGAGAACCAAGTTCCTTAGGATTTTGTCTACAAAACGACGAATTCGGTTAATTAATTCAATCTTGAAACAAAACGGTACATATCAGCGAAGCGTTGCCTTGCGATGAACGACAGAGAACTGAGAAAAAAAAATAGTCGTAGAGGCGCACGGTGTAGACAATTAAACGATATATACAATTAGTTACCTTGCCAGCGATGCGGAAAAGAGATGATTGATATAATAGAAGCGTAGTACCTGTTGCATCACAAAGTGTGCATGTGTTTTATCGAAACACTGGCAATAATCAGTACGACGATTTGCGATAAATCACGGAGTTTTTCATTAATCAAACGGCAACGTAATCAAAACGGTTAATTAATCAAACGTTTCAGTCTTCGAAACGCGATTTGTTTCTCCCTTGAAGCTCTTTGTAGCGAATGGACAGAACTGGAGAATAAATCAGATTTTCAATAAAAAATGCACTTGTTAATACTTTCGCTCATTTTGTCGATCTTTCTATTCATCGACAAAGCTCATTTTTTAAAAGCTTTTTTCAGTTCTGATTTAATTTCCAGTTTCATTTACATTTATTTTTTATTGCATATCTAATAATTTATTCATAAATTTTACTTGAATTTTATTTAATCTTCGAAATTCAATCGACATTTTTGCAATAACTGCTAATTAAAAAATTATAGTCTACTTAAAAGGCTTTAGAAATTATTTTAGAAATTTAGTATCATACCCTGAAAAATGTTCTTTCGCAATTAGTATCATACCCTGAAAAATGTTCTTTCGCAATTAAATAGATACGTTTGTCGTATAAATACAATCAAACTGGCAATATTTATTGCACGTCGTCGTATCTTTTTATTGTTAATAAAAGATGCGTGCGAAGGGCCGCTTGCCCTTTCGAGATGTTTGCGCCTTTTGGAAGTATCTTCTTGCGAACCAATCGATATTTCTCTTTAAATGCGACATAAAGTATTTTAACAAAGTTTTATACAACGTTTTGGAAAATTACACGTCGTAAAGCTTTACGGTCGAACAATTTCCGGGGTCTTTTAATGGAATAAGTTGCGATAACGGGATATATAAAAGGATTTAAAGCGTACATTTCGAAAGGATAAGAGCAAAGGGCGAACATATAAAGAAATGGGGATGGATTTGAAAGGGAGACCCCAAATGTGTATGATCGGATCCCAACGATTTGTAATGTACAGCTACGTAGTGATTAGGAAACATTAGCGTAAAGATGTAACTATATTGCGTATGTGCGTGCAAGTATTGTATTATATTAAAAATTTATTTAGTTATTTTATGAATAAAAAATGCAAACTCTTTTTGCCGGTTCACATTGGGGACTGTTTCAATGCCACATTTCCGCGTACGTCACTGATCGCACGAGTCTCTATCTTATCTCACTTTAAACCACACAATTTTAAATGGAAATTAATTGAAAAGGAATTATTCATGCAAAATGATTACATCAATGAGTGTACAGAAAAACAAATGCAAGAAACTTTCCTTTGTTTTAAATGAGCCTTTACTTATTTTTACGTCGGAAAGAACAAAGACTGAAGTACGATAAATCATTGAATGGCTGGCAATAAAAGTTTTTCTTTAAACAATTTTACATATTCTCGTTACATTGTCCCGCGTATTACATACAAGTTCATCGCGGAAATTTCTTCTAATCAAATGCATTGTTATAGAATTATCTGCGTGTTTATATGTACATAGAACTTTGTACGCGGCTCGTGGTATAATAATAATATTAATAGTAATAAAATAATAAAATAATTCATAATCTTACATTATCATGTGTTGCAAGTGTAAAATTTACATAGAACGTCCATTCTTAATTATTACAATAGAAAACGGATTAAGTTGTTTATGTCATAATCGGCACTTTCAATGTATATCTGTTGTTATCTAGCTTTAGCTTGATTGAAAATATATCGAAACAAAAAATGGCAATTAATCGGCAATAAAGATAGCAAATATATTAATAATAAATGTACGATTTGTGTCTGCGACTGAAGCTCTGCAAGTGATTTAATCGTCACAATATCTTTACAAGGTCGAGAATTGCTATTGCTTTTTACAAAATGTAACTTGCATTGTAGCTTGCAAAGACATATATTTATACTTTCCGCAGCTAACTGTGATTAGAGAATTATCTGTTTACTTATAATGACTCAATTTGTGATACGCACTAGTTAGGTTTACTCTACTTAGGTATATTTTCCTTATTGCCTAGGATGATCCATAAATCATGCATCAGAGAGAAAAATCAATTATCACGCAATGCAAACATTCTTTTAGTTTTATTAAACTAAATATCTAAACTTTATCACTATCAATTTAAGTTTTTTTTAACTTTCATTACAAGCTAATTCGCATTTATTTTAAATTCTCAGCCTTTTATTACAAAAAAATAGGACTCAACATAATGACAATATGTGATTCTCGGTTATCTTACAAGTTCATAGCCACCAATAAGAGGAAAAAGAAGCATGACAAAAAAATTTTCCTGTGTAATTTTCTTTCTCTTTTAAACTTTACTTTTTATAAAAATTGAAAATATAAACCTCATTCGTACATAAAAAAAACTTAAAAAAAAAATTCATTAGAGGAAGAATAAACTCATCCTTAAATTATTTTATATCATATCAAATAAAAGATAGCATACAATATATCATAAAAACGATTATTTAGTACATACAATTTTTACTTTAATAAATTTGATAATTTTCCAAAAATCCAAATGTAACGAATAGATTCTATTAGTTTAATGCTCAATAGAGAAAGCATTAAATCATTCTTTAATTATTTTGCATTTTATATTATATAAATATACAGATATATCACAATATCAACAATGATTAAAATAGTTAACATAATACCGGAT